TCACCAACTCCGTTTCGTCCCGCCCTAGTCCGGCGACTCCATTCTTCATGCTGTGGAAGGGTGATGTTTTTTGGGACGTCGGGTTCTCGGCTGTATGTGACAACTCCTCGGATAAAGCGTGGTGCCCGAGGTAGCTGTCCGCTGGACTCTGCCTTAGTGGTTCCTGCATGCATCGTGGTGCATGCTCCGCGGGCGAGGCAGCGCGTGCTCAGAGTTGTGTCCCCCGCCGGGCCTCTCGTGGTCTGTGCCGCTGCGATTTCCGGGAGCTGCGCGGTCGCCCTCCCTTTCCTTTGCAGTCTTGAGCTCGCAGTTCCAGATTTTGGTTGCTGCGTCCTTGGCTTGCGTGTGAGTACCACGGGCCCCGCCTTAAGGATCGCACGTGCGGCAGAGGCTGGAGTGTTACGACCCCGCGCAGTTAGGGTTGGCGCCAGTGAGGGCTACGGGTGGCGTTTGGTCCTGTGTGGGCTCCGGGCCGGTGGCCACATGGTTGCCAGCTTCCTGAGCGCTGTTTCAAGCTGGCCGCACGGCGGCCTGCCCGGGCCATGACTGACACCCTCCCGGGCCGGCGTTCCTCTGCCCCAGCTGTTGCCAAGGTTCTAAGTCCTTGCGGTTACGTACCGATGGACTACCAAACTCTAGGCATAGAGGGAACTTGCTTCGGGTACAGCCTCATGGAAATTACAAGGCCAACGAACACAGAGCAGAGAAAAGGCATGTGATGCCGACTGGTTCAAACGTAATAGGGCTGATTTGAGAAAGATGGTTCTGGGCAATTTTCTTGGGAAAGGCTCTTTGAAGGGTACGGTCGTTCTTTTTCTAATATATGAGCGCTCTCCCTTTCTGTCCCATGGTTTTCTTGAATAAAAAGGCTACCTCGGAACAAAAGAACTTGTTGAAGCTTATCTTGGGGTGTTACCCCTAGGGGTGCTTCTAAATTGGCCCTATCACTCAGGGATAACTATTTTTTCTTTAAAGATTTATTATGTGTACAGTGTTCGGTACCAAATCTCATTTACAGATGGTTGTGAGCCACCATGTGGTTGCTGGGAATTGAAGTCAGGACCTTTAGAAGAGCAAGCAGTGCTCTTAACCACTGAGCCATCTCTCCAGCCCCGGGATAACTAGCTCTTAATTCAGGCTTATCCTCTGGGATGTGAAAGGACCACCAGGTGCCCCCTGAGCCAATACCAGGGGCCGCAGAGTCAAGAGGAAGATTTCCTCAAAGAACTAGGAGCCCCTTCCCAGTCTCTGTAGTGGCTAATTCAGCATGAACCTCCACTAGGAGAGTTGGCAGAGGGAGCTACTTGCACTCTCTTAACCTGGGATGTGCTCTGCCTGACTTTCTGTCCTCTGGAAGAAGCTGGTACGGGGTAGTTCTCCAAGGTCAGCTTGGGTAGCTGATGCTCCAGGGGCTCCAGGGTTTACTACAAATGAGGCAAACAAAGGTGCTGGAGAGGATTTGGTGGTCAGAAAGTGGCTCTTGGGGGCTGAAGGCAGGAGATGATGGCATTGAGCATTTCTTCTGTGCTTGTTGAAGGTTGGAGTCAGTGAGGCGTGTGTGTGTGGAATACAGGTACTGGGACTTGAGCCTTCGTCTCTAGCTATACACATCACTTAACTCAGTGGATTTGGGTGATTATACCAATCAGCCTTAATTTTCCTTTCTGGGTTTAAGATGTCACACAACCATCCCCACACAGTGTTACCAAGGATAAAGGAAGAGCTAAGAAACCAAGAGCTGTCTAGAAAACCCCAAGACCTCTGTGTCAGGTCAGGGTACCACTGTGGAACAGAAATAGAACAATGGCATTTGGAATAAGGAGATTGGAGCTGCCTGGATGTAGGCCGGGCACTAGCCTCTGGGTCTCAAGGTTGGGCAAACAGCACAGGCCTGTGTTTGTGGGTAAGACTGGGATATCCCAGAGGCAGAGAAGCAGGATAGGAACTTGGAGATACAGAGTTTAACCCATGAAAACAGACCATATGCATCACCACTCCTGTGCCTGGATAAACTGCAGTGTGACTACTCCACTGTGTGTCTGTTGTGAGTACAAAGCTAGCCTTTGCTCCTGGGTTCTCCATATTCCAAATGGTACCAGCTGCCCCTTTGGACACCAGACACAAAGTCTCCATAGGCAGCACTGGTTCACAGATTCAGGCTAGGGGAGCCCAGAGGGTGTTGCTGTTGGGGTGAAGGGGTGTGAGTTGGACTTCCTGGCAGACCCCATTCCCTACCCATGAGACAGTTTTAAGCTACTTCTTTCTCAATCCTTCGTGTTTTAGCCTGCTTCTCTGGCATGTTTCTGCCATTGCCCAGATAAAACCTCAGGAGAAAGAAAGGCCAGCCCTGTTGTAGGGATGTGGGTATTGACAAACTTGTCGTTGTGGGGGGTTGAGAAATTCACTACTTATTTCCGGGCTGTTTTTCTTGGATGGCTGCAGGTTTGCATATGCGTGTCCTCTAGGGAAGCAATGGAGTTCAGGTATGCCTAGTCTGAGTGCAAACTGACTAAAGTCCTCAGCCTATTGTGCATCTGTGGGAAAAGCAGGTTGGGGGAGAGAGAAAGTCCCTTGGGAGCCTTTTCTAATTGGTGATAATGTCTTGGATTGGCATTCCTGCCTTTTTGATCTCTAACCCTGAAACCCAGAAGAGACACCGTTTCTGTAAGAAGCCCAGTAACAGTGTGGAACCGGGAGCCTTGGTAGCAGCAGAACCCACAGCTTGGAACTGTCTGGACCTGGACCATTTGGTCCCTGGGAGATAGGGCAGTTGGGGAGTGTCCTTATCTTCCAAAGCCTTGCCAGTGACACTGGGGAGACTGGCTTCCACAGCTAAGGGAACATCCATAGGTGCTAGCTCACCTTGATGCAGATTGTTGTAGGCTCAGAGAACAACAAGGGTGGGAGCAGGCACTTTCCAAAAGTGGTAGTTTCTGCTTGTCTCCTAGATAATAGGAGCCCTAGGAGCCACATATCAGGAACTAACAGAAGAGTGCTTGCTGCCTCTCAAGTATGACGACCTGGGATTAGGTGTATCTCATTTTATCCTATTGCCATGCCACCTTGACAAGCAGCTTCTGAAAGGCCACCCAGGCTGTCTGAGCAGCTGTCTGGCATGGGTGGCCTTTCCCACTGCTCTAACCTTGCTGCTTTTCCTTCATGCTGTCCTAGGAGGCCAAAGCAAAAGTAAGTACACCTGCAAAGTGCCCTGTGTCTCCCTTCACCTGTGCCAGGGAGTCCCCAGCTATCCATCCCTTGCCTGAGGGAAGCATACCTATACAGACTTGAGCTTGCTGGGACAGGGCAGTGGTGTGGTTAGCTGTTGGCAAGTAGATACCCATGTGGCCCTCACACCAAACAGTTCAACACATAGTCCTCTGCCATATGGAGAAGTGATGGCCAATCATGAAGATGTGGCCTAAGGAAATATCTAGTCTCAGTTGGCCCTGTCCCTTCTTGAGGGAGCACTGGAAGTAGCTACATCTGTTTTCAGCCTAGTCTGTTTGGTGGGGGTGGGGGAGGCAGCTTAGTGGGCATTGTTGAAAGGAACGGGGAGGGCAGTCAACCTAGACCTGTAGGGCTCCACCGAAAGCCAGGAGGTTGGAGTTCAGGTCCTGCTGTGATGGCATGTACTGCCCCCTTGGTGACAGTAGGTGATGTCACAATGCTCTGCTTCCTGGGATCATCCTCAGTCCCTACCCCTGCCCCTGCTACTTGGCCTTGGTAAGTGAGGGGGTGGCTTGGAGACCTCTCTACTTCGGGCCTCTGTGGCTCCTGGTCCTGGCTCCTCACAGTGGAGAAAGCTTGGGTGGATTGCACTCAAGAAGTTTAGCTCTCACTTAGAGGTAGGCTTCAGGATATAACAGAGTTTTCCAAGGTCTTGAGCATAGGTGAGATTTGGATAGCTTAACACTCTTCCAGTCAAGCATTTTGTTGGGTGTATTAGGAAAAGATCCTAGGCAGTGATATGAAGGTTTGTTGTCCAGACAGAGGGTTCCCTTCCACTTCCTGAGAGCCAAACAGATGGCCTGGGTGTTACTGCAGATCCATAGGAGCAGCATGATAGCAACCTCTGTATCTTAGTCAAGTTTTGTTCGTTGAGTCCAGACAACAAAAATTTTGATGGGAGTACCCTTCTGGGGCAAGGCAGCACTAAGAGTGTTTACTGGTGGCCTTCTGGGCTAGCTGGTAGATCCTAGAGCCTGTGTTTTCCATGGTGCCACATCAGCTTCAGGAGTACTGGAGGCAAGCCCTCCCTTGTGGCTTTTGCTGTGCACTTCAGAGCCACGCCCTGCTGAGGGAGCAGATACTTAAAATACAGAGCTTGAGGTAACACCATGTCTAGTAAGGAAGCTGAGGCCTCTGAGGCACTGTACACTTGACTACAGTTTCGAGTGGGATATGGTATCCTGAGACTCTTGAGGTCCCCATGATGACTCTTTGGTTCAAGTGGATTCAGAGTTGTAGGTTGGTGGCCTCCTGCAGGGGGTGGGGGGTAACAGCTGGCAGTGGTACTCAGTCCCTGACCCATCCCCATGAGGTCAGTCAGGGTCACAGAGTCACTATCCCTTCCCTAAGATTAGCAAGGCACACAGGTCTGGGCAAGGTTGTGGTGTGGCCAAGGTAGTTGCAGGTGACTTTCAGTGATGGGCTGTTTGATGGTGCTCCATCCACCTTGGCAGTCACAAGTCCCTGTCAGTGAACTGGAAACATCAGCTGCCTCAAGGAGATGTCAGGCTCAGCATATGCAAAGCACAGCCAGTCTAAGTTTGATTTCAGTAAGCCAAGTGTAATTTACTATGCTATAAGTAAGCATAGAATATCTCATGGGATGTGTTTACACGTTAAAAAAAAAAAAAAACAAAAAAAACCCCCTCCTATTTTTTTTTTTTAAACCCC